TCTACACTAGCTAAAAAAGGTTTGGAAGCTGTATATTTTCCTGTGAGTAAGCAAAATACATTCTACATTTTTGTTTCTCACCTCCAATCATGGCGTCCATAAAGATTAGTAAAAATGCGATCCTCATCTTTGAGGGGACCAAACTGAGTTTTCTTTGGGGGTGCCTGTCAAACAAAAAGAAATAGCTTTAACTTTGAAGAAAGCTATACTTAAAAAAAAAAGACAAAAGCAAAACAAAAAGGGCAAATAAATCTTTCCAAAAGCTAAACACAGAAACTAAGCCATCATCATAATAAGCAAGGAAAAAACACTTACATTCTCCCCACAGAATATATATTCTAAAATACATGTTCATTCTAAAAATAGAAATAAAAGGCTTTTTGGAGGAACGGAGGAGGTCCAAAAAGTAGGACTTTGGAGATCTCCATCATCCATCCTCCCTTCCTTTATTCCTCTAGTTCAACTGCAACACAATATTGAACATAACATAGTTCTGTGGCACACCATACAATTATTAATTGCATATAATATTTTTAAACGTGTAAGACATGATTCGAGGGCAAATTAAATAATATCTGCATTGTACTGCATATACGGATTACACTGAATAGGCATAGTAGAAAAAGATAAAAATAACATAACACAAGAATCTCGTAGCACACTAGATAAAAAGCCCATGGCACGTCTATGCGCCGCAGCAGGGTAGCTGAGAACCATTGCTGTTGTATAAGTCCCCATCCCTTCTTCCCTTTCCCTTGTTGAAAAAAGAAAAAAAAAAGAATGGTAAGTAGAAGTCACCGATTCCGGAGCAGCGGCGGCGGCAAAAAAGCGAGCCTGGGTGCAAATCGGTCGGAGGCGCAAGGGCTGAGCCCCCAACATAGCGGAGAGCGAGTGGGGGGGGTCTTTCCAGCTGCAGCTCCTAACCTCGTCACCTTCACCTGTACGGCGCAATAATAATACGTCACGATGTTTCTCTTCGCTCTTCCCGGAACACCAAAGACTGAGCAACTTCCTTTGGCGTGTGGGCTAATGGGTATTGTAGTTTAGGATCCACAAAAAAGTGCGCGCTATTTCCGACTCGTGTTCAGTGCTGAATAAATGACAAACTGCAGCGAAAGTCTAGCTTTTCTGGAGCAAGAGATTGTGGGTCTAGGATAAAGTAGTAGATGTGCGTCGAATAGTGATTGATAAAATATATTTATAAGGGTAAATATTTCTCTTTGATTTGTTTGCAATATGTATGACAATATCTAGGATGCTTTAAAATTTTTTTTAAAATTATCGACTATTCCAAAATCTATTTTCAGTAAGGAATGACATTTCACATATATTAACTGTTAATGCCCTATGTACATAAGGCAGACGTTTGTAATTAAAAGATTGCAATAAACTAATAAGTTTATAGCAAAATCAAACATTTTATTACGTATTGGGCATCTTTTCCATCTAGTCTTGGATACTGCAGTCAACTCTGCACAACCATCTGCAGCCTTTTGGCTTTTTGAATGCAACTCATAGTGAAACTGGGATCATACAGTTAACTCACTTTTCTTGTCAGGTTAGGTCAAAGACTTTACACATTTTAGTATTCCATCTATGAAAACTGCTGTACACATTTTGATAGCCTATTTGTGAAGTTGGCCCACAGTTATGTAAAATAATCATGGCAAGCATAAAAACCCTAGAGAATATTTATTATCTATTGGTTTTGCCAGTTTGTCATACGCGAAGTTAGCTGGGCGGTAGTCAACCATGTACTTTAATAAAGTTCATAAGATGGGTATGACTAAGGTAAAGAGATACAGCAATTTGTTATTTATTCAATTTAAAAATAAAACTATTTTCCCATCATTGTAATAACCATAGGCTGTTTAGTGCTTCAAATATGTATTCTGCATGTTGTTAGGTATCTCCAGTTTTAATCAATATTATTTATAATTTGGTGGACTTGCCATTCTACATCTTCCTATGTTCTAAAATTATATAATAGTGCTTTTTCACAAAAATGTCCTCTACTGGCTTGCTTTATTTACTTATTTTAGTTAGTTGGTAGGAATTTATCTTGCTCTTCAGCCAAATATATTCTCAGAATAAGTATAATTAATTTTTAAAAATGCTCATAGGCTTGCAGTCTGCAAGATCATGACATGGCATTACATGAAAAGAATAACAATTTCATTTTCAAGTTAAATAATATACAGTGCAGAAGCTGTTTTCTGTAATAGTTTCTTCTTAAATATGAAGTGTTCTGATTATTCTTCTTTCTGTATCTCTATACGAAGGACCACAGCTTCTGGATCCCTCCATTTCCATTAGCTCCACTGGGGCTTGCCTTTGTCAGTTTACCTCATTTTCAGAAAGCTGCTAATCTGTTCTGCCAGGAAGAGGATTACATCACTGATCTTTCTGATCCTGTTGATTCTTAATCTGAGAAGGATGATCCCATTATATTGGAGTGTACTCCAGGATTGCAGTTGCATGGAAGTGCTCCAAAATTCTAAAGAGGGATCATCAATCATAAATAGATTTTGGAACATAACTTTCCAATCCTCATTTAAAGAAAGGCCAGCCCAGCCATTAGGCAGTGAGGTACGTACCTCAGACAAAAGATGCAGGGAGGCATTACGGCAGTATCTCCAACTGGATTTGATCCTCCTAACCCTAGCTTCTCTGTTATATGTGCATTACCATCTTTTAGAGCTAGTACTGTTGTTTGCATGTTGCTAGCCCAGGTAGCAAGAAACTAGAGGTTTGCATTACCAATATCTCAGTCAGTATGGCTGAACAAAACACCAACAAAACACCTAACCAAGTAAGCAAAAATAAAATTTTTAATCAATGAATGTGAGGTATGACCATATATGACATACACTGGTGCATGGAGGAATAAGGAAATGGAAAGGTACTGAATGGCAGGTGAGGCTTATGCCATCGAACTAGTTTCTTGATGAACAAGCATGTCCATGATTTTCAGTGCAGTCATACAGAAGTTGTTCCCCATTTATATGTTGAAAAGATAGGAATATTATTTAAGAGTTGTATATGGTCCTCAACCCACATAGTGGTCCTGAGTCTAGCATCACCCTACTGAAATTCATTTACAACCCATCAGTTTATGGCTAACATTTATTTGAGGGTGAAGGTTTGTTCTCTGAGCTTGTGGGTTGATTTCTGAACGTTTCGTTACCAGGCTAGGTAACATCTTCAGCAGCTTTTAGGGGATGTCTCTGTCAGTGCTGTTCTGTTTATCAGGGCTTCAGGTGTGGATGTGTCCAAGTGAAGATCTTGTGATGGGTCAGGTATGGGTCATCAGAGAAAGGCTTGTGATGGGGAGGTTACTTCAGATCAGGGTCATTGGAGGGTGTGAGTCATCAGTGAGAGGCGTGATGGGTCTTGTGATGAGGTTACATCAAGTCAGGGTCATTGGAAGATGAACTTCGTGGGTTGGGTGAAGATCAGTGGTGTCTGGTTGGCTGTGTGGTTGATTTAGATTCTGAGGGGTTTGTAGGCTGGTTGTAGGTCGATGTGTCTGTTGATGGAGCTGTTGATGAGTGCCAGTGCCACCCTCATCCTACACCTGAGCTACAGATATTTGCTACTATTGCATAACATTTATTTCTCCAGGACTAACTTATTTTGCTTTACAATTACCAACACAGAAAGATAAACGAGAGGCAAGAATAATCAGCTTTGTCTCCCTGAGAAGACATCATCATCTCTTATGCTTGTATCCTTAGAGTCTGTTTCATAAATAAATAAATAAATAAATAAAGCTCCCTTGTAAAAGAAAACATTTTGGAGGGAAGAATCAAAAGCATATTTTCATTTATCACAAATCAAAGAATAGGTCTCCTCCTTTAAAATTACTTATTAAATTTATGTGCCACTCATATCACCTTCTAAAGTAATTCTTGGTGTCTTATAATACAATAAAACCTAAACATAAAAACAATTTAAAATTACAAGAGTTAAATACAGGCTAAAATCATGGGTCTGAAGTGGTGTCTTCTCTGGCACTGCACCAACCACCTCCAACCTAGAGCATCCTCAAGCCAACAAGCAGAACCAAGTTTTAATACCTTTCTGGAAGGCCAGAAGGATGTGTGTGTGTGTGTGTGTGTGTGTGTGTATCTCATTTCCAGTGGCAAGATGTTCCAAAGGCAGGACCACACCAGAAAAGGCTCTTCTAGACCTCACCAGCCAAAATTCCTTGGCTGATGGAGTCTGCAGTAGGTCTGCTTCCGCTCAAACAGATGTGGGCAAATATGGCAACTTTACAACCTGTGCACTTTGACTCCCATGGTTGGCTCAGGAATTCTGGGAGTTGAAGTCCACAATTGTAAAGTTGCCATAGTTACCCACCCCTATGCTAGAATGAGTAGGGATGCACAATCCCATTGGGGCAAAATGGTTCTTCAAATATCCTGGCTTATTAAATGAACTCTCTGGGTACAAGTCTGCTATGAGAAATGCTTTTTTTTTTCTTCCAAAGATATATTTTCAAAATATTTTAACCTATAGGGTATGTATGATAAACACATATAATGAAAATGCAGGTAATGTAATTAAGATATAAAGATGGCAAGACCCTAAGAATCTCAGGCAGAATAGTAGTATGACTGATTTTAAATGTATAATAAGTAGAAATAATTTGATCCAACACAGAAAAGTGACTGGGCATTAAGGCGCTGCACCAGTTGAAATTATGGAAGATATTACAAGAATGTTTGATGAGGTGGGGGGCAGGCATACAATCATTTGCACACTTATATAATAGACCAGAGGTCCCCAATCTTTTGAGCACCAGGGACCGGTTCTTTGGAGAGAGGTTTTTCTGCGGACCGGAGGGGCCGTGGTTTCATGTACTGCCTGCATCCCGCAGATGGGGCTTTGTTTGCGCGGACCGGTTTCGGGCATGCCACGGACCGGTGCCGGTCCACGGACTGGGGGTTGGGGACCCCTGTAATAGACAACTGTCTGAAAATAAGTTACCTCAGAAATGGTTGTTGAAATTATTTTAATCAAACTGACCTAATAGGATATTTTCTCCATTTTATTGTAGAATTCAATATCAGATCCAGATAAAACAAAAAAATCAGCACTTCCGGCAATCTTTAATCCTGAAATGGTACATTCTCATTCCTGTGTCATAGCTGCACCATGAATCAGGTTTTGCAGAACTGGATTTTATTCTTTTGCAAAAGTGTATCTACCATCACCAACAAGTGATTTTAGCATTATTGCTACTCTAATCCAACCAGACACCAGGTGCTAAACATCTTTCCTGGGCTGTAAAAGCTTTCCATTCCTGCAGTTTTCATGATTTTCCTTCCCCAGCAGAGAGATACAAGCCTTTTTTAAAACTAGCTTTGTTAGATCTACAAAACTACAAACTTGCATCCTAGAAAAGTAAGTAGCTTTACTGCTTGCCATTCCCATTGATGAAACGTTTCTTACGGGCATCTGATTCCAGGAAATTCTTGAGAAGTGGCCGGTCATTAAGGCGCTGCACATAACCAGCCAGCAAAGGAAAGGAAGCCAAGCAATTGGGTGCCAGGACCAAATGAGCATGTAGACTGTCAAGCAGATTATAGTCTGCAAAGCCGATCTGGAGAAGACGGAGAGAAGTGGCACACAACAATAGAAGAGAGAAATGGAAATAAAAACATAATTAACTTTGCAAAACACGTTTAGTTCTGTATTTTTGTACATAACAGTAAACATAGATGCCCCCCCCCCTAAACACAAGCCAAACCTTTCAAGGACTACATATACCATATTTACTAAATATCTATAATGGCAGAGCTGGCATTTTCTTCCATTTCCACTGACAGTATTTCTTGAAATTCAAGAAAGCACCTTTTTAAAAGAAAAAGAAAAATTGAGATTTCTCATATAGCTGGATTTTGGTACTATGTTCTGTGCTTTCCTGCAACCCACAGAATTATAGAACATTGGGGATGAAGTCACATAAAGGGATTCGGATCTCTACTTGCCCATCAGCAGAACAACCCTGCAAAACTAAACAGAACAGAACTAAACCTGTGTGTGCAGAAACTAGCCAAATTAAGTTCAAAAATAAGCTGGATTTGGCTGGGGTCTATGGAGAAAAATGATTTCAGGAAAAAAAAATCTCCAGTTGGGGTGGGGGTGGGGGAACAGTCCGGCAGCCACTTGCAATGTGCTCATGATTCCAAGTGAAGCATATTTGTGTATTTACTCTATTTGTATTTTACCCATCCCTGAAGGCTGCTTTTTAAGGCAACTCATTCCTGAAAGGGAATGAGTTGCCTTAAAAAGGGCTGCTGGATGGCATTCAATGGACACAATGAGGGCAGCAAAATACAGTATGATCTTTATGCTGCCCGTATCCCCATACTGTAAGCTTGAATGTGAGGTCTTATGTACCCACTCTCAGACTTAAGATAGGCTTTCCTTTGCTGCTTCATCTCCAGGAGTGCCTTAGTCTACCAAGGATGTATCAGAGGGATGGCCAGTGTAATCTGATCAAGCGCTACACCTTAGTGAACTGGGAAACCAGGGTTTTAACCAAATGGCCTACCCTATCCATGGGAAACTTCCTAGTTGCCCTGTGAAACTCATTTGGAGTTTCAAATTTGGACTTATTAAACTGGATGTCTTCCCCACAGGAGAGGAAAATGTGAGGGGGTATACAGTGAAACTCCATAGCTACCAGAGAATGATATGTCCATGACAAAAGGTACAGTCAATGCCCTTCATTTTCAGATCATATATCTACCCCAACATATCGCCCCTCAGTAAGTTGCGCAAGATCCATGGTAGCCATGAACTCTTGTCTGCATAGACCAGTGGTTCTTAACTTGGGTGATATTGCCCCCCAGGGGGCGATTTTGTTTTTCAGGGGGGCGATGGAACGAAAAGGGGCGACGCAGGGGTGAAGGAACGAAAAGGGGGCGATATGGGGGCAATGGAGCGAGAAGTTTTGGGGATGCTTTTGAGACTTTTTTGTACAGTGAATCGCTGTATATCTGTCGTACAAAAACATCAGATCGCTCGCTATTAGTGGATTGAATTGTGTTTTTCTTTTCGGGCATTTCACTTTCTTGCAATTGAATTTTGTTTTCAATGGTGATTACATTTAAGTGTCTTGAATAAATAAGATATTAATGAAATACATGTATCACGAAGTTTGGGAATAAAGTGCCGAGTGGCATCAAAATTTTTCACACAGTTGAGATATGGGAAAAAGACTGGAAATAAACTATTTGCACCGATATGTCCTGATGACAATTTTAAAGAAAATAAAAAAAAGTGTTTGCATAAATTGAAGAATTATTTCCTATGTTGTGATAGAGAGGTTATGTTGGGGGAGGGGGGCGATGACAACGTCCTCATTGGCTCAAGGGGGCGATTTGTTCAAAAAAGTTAAGAACCACTGGCATAGACCACTCAATAAGGGAAGGCATGTTAAAAATTCCCCCGGCACAAGTCTAGGAAATACCCCCAGCCTCCCAAGAATAAGAGCAGCCCTGGCAGGGATGTTGCTGTATAGGCATGGGGGGGGGGGAAGAGAGTGATTTACCAGCAGCAAATTAATCAGCTCAGTGTTGCTCAGTTTACACTCATGCATATACAAATGTGCCCAGACAACAGGAGGGAAAGTAGAAACACATACTCCGATGCTACATGTTGCTTTATTGCACAGAATAAAACCCTACGCTTCCTATGCCTTTGCCAGTAAAGGCTTTGACAAACAAGCACCTCATGGTCCCAATTCTGTGGGACTGCAGGGAAGCCCAGAACACAGTATGAAACCCTAACTATCTGAAAAATCTTGATTTTTCTTTTAAAAAGAAACTGCTTTCTTGATTTTCAAGAAATACTATCAACTGGAAGTATAACTGGGATTCTAAATGTCTTACTCTATTTATACAACAAGGACAAGTCAGTTATCCCTCTTCATCTAAAATCAGTAGATTAATACCTGACAAGACAAAGCAGAAGCCTGCTGTTAGCACATTAGCAATACTTGATTGCTTTAACTCTGATTTAATGGCTGGCATGAACCAGATGGTTGTGGCTGCAATACAGTAAACCAGTGTTTTTATTAACAATGACCACACATTAACAATAATGTATGAATTTCACCCCAGAGTAATTGCCTTCATCTCCGGAAGGCCATTAATGGCCAATCCACATGTCTGTCTCCAACAGGAACACACATTAACAGGAAGCTGTGATGGTTTGATTACCTGTTTGCCTACAATGAAGCCTTTCCCTCCATCGTTCTGAGCCAAGAGCTTCTCAAAAGGGGCCAACTCAGCTGGCAGGGCCTCAATGTAAGCAGCTTTGCCAGATTCCTGTGAAAGAAAAACAGTCAGCTCTTTCCTCCCCCAGGTCTGCCTTTCCCTCCTGGAGAAGAATTAGGGTGAAAGGACACTTCTACCAATACGGCAAAATGAAAGATTCAATTATTCTAAGCACCTTGCTTGAGCCCTTGTTATTGGGGGAAGGGGGTAATGCAAACCCCTTGTTTTGTTTTGTTTTTTAAAAAAAGAGTTCGATTGTTGGGAGGTTGCATGATCTCTTTGTACCTACGAGCCCATGGTAAATGGAGAAACGGATCTCAGCATCTGTTTCTCATATGACTTATTAGTCCTTGAATGCATCTTTGTGTTCGACCAACAAAAATAATTTTCTCTCTGTCCAAGACTAGTGTAGGTAAGTAGGCTTTTCTAATCTTCATTTATTTCTTAATAAATGTAGCTTTTACTTCCAACAAATAAGAAATAATAGCTAGCATTCATTAGTCACTGGGCTGAGTCCATACTCTTCATAAAATGCACATTTTCCCTTTTAATGGGCCACTCTGCCATTAGGCATACGAAACATGCTGTGCACATCCGGCCTGCACAGGCCACCCCCAGCCCCACAAGAGCAAAACAAATCCCAATATGTCATGATACGGCCCATGATACAATCAGGTTTGACACCCCTGGGTTAAAGCTTTACCATCTGCAGCGGGGTAAAAAGTTCCGCTGAATTAAATTAATCAGGTTTACCGTTACATTTTTAGATTGAAACTTAAATTAGCTTTTCCCAGTAAAATCTACCTCCTTTTAGATACTGTAAGAAAAACCCAGCATTTGATCAGTCTGTTGGTTCTCAGAGAAACCAAGGCATCATTAAATAGGGGACTGAGCTCTGCATCTGGCAGCTAAAAATAAAACCAGGTTCTCCTATAATCCCTCTTACATAGTTGTGGTAGATTAAGCGGGCATATTTAATTCGCAGGTCCTCCACACCATCATTCACCATGTCCAGCAGCGCTGCTTCCTTTGCATCTTCACCATAGAGTCCTGAGGGGCAGGAAAGAAGGTAACACAGTCTAAAGTCAGAGAGGATAACAACAACATTGATAACTAAAACTGCATTATCCCCAGTACTCTATCGCATTTACGCATCTTTAGGCCAGGCTTTTCTAAACCATGGTTCGCTGAATAAGCTACAGCAGCTTGATCTATAATGGGTGTAGTTGAAAATACACTTAGTCAAAAACAAATTATACATTTGGGTTAGCATTTTATGGGAATGAAGTCAGAGATTTCCTGCAGCTAACATCTGGAAGTCAATCTACAACTGCTAAGCATACTTCTGATTGGTGTATTTGGCCCAAGGCAGTTTTTAATTTATTATCAGTATTTATGCAAATCATAACTCTCATTCTCTGATTTTTAATGTATTTTTACAGCCACATCTGGTAGTTGCCTTTTGTTATATTTTTAAAAATCTCTTATGGGCAATAAAATCACCCCCCTTGTTTGTTTGTTTTTACTTTTGAGTCAGTGTTCACTCTTAGTGAGTGCCTGGATAAATTTCTATAGTTTTCTTGGCAAGATTTAAAAAATTCTTTGCCATTGCCTGCTCCCTTGGACTGAGAAGAATGACTGGCCCAAGGTCACCCAGCTGGCTTTCTTCTAAGGCAGGACAAGAACTCAGTGCCTTAATAACTACACCAAACTGGCTCTATATTAGCTATTAATTGAATTCCATTATATTGTTTCTTGGTCTTTTAGTTAAAATCAAGTATGTAGAATTCCACTGTAATCAACTCAAGAGACATTTATATACACATAAGCACATATGTAGACACAAATGTTCTAGCCCCAAAAGGCAACATGCCCACAGATTTGCCCATATATCCCACCGTGATTCCTAGCCAAGTGGCGCAGAATAGCATTAGACTGATGCAATATAAAATTCCCATCCTGGAATCTCGGCAGTTGGCCAAAGGCCTAGAAGAGAAGAAGTGAGAGGAAAAATGGTTAGTGATGGAGCATCCCATTGTATTTCCAGAAAAATAAAGATATTGCTGAATAATGCCTCCTCCAAAACCCAGTAAGTATTGCAAATACAAAGATAATGACATTTATAAACTAACTGGAGAGCCACAGGCTGTGCATCCTAAGACAGAAGTCTGGTTAATGAAATTATAACATTGGGAACTGGAATGCATGAGAGAGCTCGTTTTGCAGAAGGATTTCCCTTCTAAACCCATAAAATAAAAAGTATCTGCAAGGCAGCTTTACTCACACATAATTTCTTGAGATCTCCCTTCTGCCAAATCTCCCCATTCACCACATCCTCTGTCCACTCCTGTCCCTGATCAGCCAGCAGCATGCGTATGGATTCTCCACGGCCTGAGACAAAAAATTCCAAATGTGGATAAACCTAGTGGCAATATTTATTGAGCACACAGAACCATAATTTTTTAAGTATGGGTCATTGACTATAATTATTTGGATCCACAAGATGCTAAGTTACCCACCCAACCCTCATAGAGCACATTTTGGTTTTGCATGTTCGGTGATGAGAAGCAGTATTTTCAAGAAAACTTAACTGACTCTGCAGCGGAGCAGAAGGAAATATGACATTTGTCAAAGAGCTGCTAAGGAAGTAGCAGGGCTTTTTTTTTTTTTTTTTTGTCATAGAATGCCCAGAACGGAGTTCCGGCACCTTTTTGGGATGGAACCTTGTAGGGTAGGCAAGGCGGGTTGTATGACGTGTGTGAGTTCTGGCACCCTCTCTCTCTCTTTTTTTTTTTTTTAATAAAAAAAGCACTGGGAAGAAGTCTAGAATTAACAAGACAGATGCAGATAATAATCAGAGAGACTTGTCAGAAAATGAGGCAGTTGCATGCTTATGTCAAATATTGGAATGGGAGGAAGTTGTCTGTGAAGGATATTACAGAAGCTTTCTATGGCCTCTTGAATTCAGTCTCAGTAGATTCAGGGGAAGGGCATACAGCAATGTTTTTATGCTGCCAATAAGCTAACCACCAAGGCCATTCCTATCAACACTTAACAGGGCAAGACACTAGTATATAAAATGAGCACAAACCTCACTCCCTACTAGCACTGATGATGCTACATAGTTGGTAATGAAATCTTTGCAAGAAAACAACCACGGTTAGAGAGCACCAAGGACCCCACAGTTCAGTCCTGAGGAACAAATATTTTTTTCTATTGGTAATGTTTTATATTTTAAATAAAAGGTTATGCTTTACACCAGTGGTGGCAAACCTATGGCACGGGTGCCAAAGGCAGCACTCAGAGCCCTCTCTATGGGCACGCGTGCCGTCGCCCAGTCCTAGGCCTTCAGCTGGGTTTTATAAAACCTTTTCACTTTAGGCCTCGGCTGCCATGTACAAAAAAAAAAAAAGGTTCAATCAATCAGTCAATTTAAAAAAAAAAAGATCTTCCTTACTTATTAAAATTTTATCAAGTTGATATGGAGTCTGACTAATTCCATGTTCTTGCCTATCCCTATTATATCTAGATTGAATTTGTAAATACGGCCACCAATCTATGGGTATTCTTTGTTCCTCCAACTCTTCTCTTGACTTAAGATTTCCTCAGTTATCCAGTAATTCTTTATACCTAATCATCTTTTTTTTTTTCTCTAATGTATTGGGATGAATCACTGCCTCCATCGGTGAGAACCAATTTGGAATTTTCCCAGTGTCTTTTTTTTATTTTTTCCCATATCCCGATCAATGCTCCTCTTATCTGATGTTGCTGGAAATATGTTGATGTTTTCTTCTGTTTCCTCCATAGAAATGCATGCCAACCTGCCTGTAGATCATGTCCTTCTATAATTAGTATCCTTTCATTATCCAAGTTTATCCAGTCTTTAATCCATAATAATCCTGCCGCATAATAATAGATTTCCCATTTAGGGAGTCCAAGACCACCTCTACTCTTACTGTCTTGTAATGTTTTGATATTTATCCTAACTTTTTTGCCCGCCCAAATAAATTTATTTATTATTTTATCCAATTCTTTAAAAAAGTTTTCTCTAATTTTATTGGAATTGTTTGAAATAAATACAATAATCTTGGTAGAATATTCATTTTAGTCAATGCGATTCTGCCTAATAATGATAATTGGAGATTCCCCCAAGTCTCAAGATCTTGTTTCATTTTTATTATCAAAGCTCCTAGAAGCACGAAGCCGAAAACACCAGCCTAAAGATAACGAATGAGACTTCGTCGAAACGTCACCAAGACACTTCCAATTTGACGTGGGAGAAAACCCGAATAACCAAAGACCTACAATTCTTAATATCTAAATATACATATTTTTCTATACAATACAGTCTCTAATTTGTCTCTCTATATACTAACATACAATTTTATATATCTCTATCTTAACACTAACTTAAAACTCGAACAGTTCTCCTTGATTCACACCAACAATAGAATTTGATTTCAAAGTAATCTGACTCTGTCTTGTCCTTCATTTCCATTGTGAGCCTATCCATATCAGCACACGATAGGATTTTATATAAAATCTCTTCTTCTGTTGGAATTTCTTTATTCCTCCAGTTTTGTGCATACGCCAATATAGCAGCCGTGAGAATATGTAGCATCAAGTAAAGTATCCCTTTGTCATATTTCTGCGTAGTTATGCCTAGTAGGAAGAGTTCTGGTTTTAGCTCTACCTCTATCATTAGTATTTCTTCCAGCCATTTTTTAACCTTGTTCCAAAAGTCACGGGCTTTTGAGCACTCCTACCACATGTGGTAATATGTCCCTCTTGCCAATTTTCATTTCCAGCACGTGGAAGAAATATTTGGACCCATTTTAGCTAATCTTGTGGGTGGGAGATGCCACATTTTGTAGAGGTTTTCTTTGTAGGAGGTGGCCAAAGTAAGCTTCCTATTTCGTACCCATAGTTCTTGCCAGATATGCAGATCAAAGTTGAGATCAAAATCCCTGCTCCACGTTAACATGGTTTCTTTTACCTGTTCTTCATACATTGCCTGATCTAACAAATAATAATATAGCTTTTTAATCATTTTATCCTCAGTACCTAGTAATATTTTATCCAGCCCTATCAGTTCTATTTTTATGACTAACTCTTTTTTATCTTTCCAATATCTCACCTTTAGTTTGAAGGTATGCCCACCATTCTAGTTCTATCCCTTCGTCTTGAAGAATTTTCCTGGGCTTCAATTCCCCTTTCTCGTCTAGTACATTTTTATATGTTATAATCTTCCCTAATTGGATAAACTTTGGATGTACATGCATTTCTAACGATGAGATCCAGCTGGGGACTTGAGTATAGTTTGGTTGCCAGGTTTTAACCCATACATCAATTAAAGTTCATCTGATATAATCCCTTCGAAAATATTTGTGTGTCTTATATTTCTGGTCCCATAGCATGGCATGCCATCCTATTTGTAAATTGTGACCTTCCAGGCATAATAATCTCCTGTTCTTCAAAAGTATCCAATCCCGCACCCATACTAGTACTATGGCCTGATAGTATTTTTCCAGGTCAGGGAGGCCAAGTCCCCCCCTTTCCTTCGAATCCTACAGTAATTTTAATTTAATCCTTGCTTTTTTTCCTTGCCAAATAAATATGAGTATAGTTTTATTAAAGTTTTGAAAAAATTTCTTATCCAATTTTATGGGTATACATTGGAACAAAAATAAAATTTTTGGTAGCACATTCATTTTGATCACAGTTATTCTGGCCATAAAGGAAAGCTGTAGGTTGGTCCAAGTATCTAAATCAGTTTTAATCTGTTCAGTTAGTTTATCATAATTCTCTCTCTTGAGTGTAACGCATCTAGCAGTTAGTTGTATCCCTAAATATCTTATTTTATTCATAATTTGAATACCTATTCTGTCAACCAATTCATTTTTCTGTATTTTAGTCATATTCTTGATGAGCATTTTAGTTTTTCCTTTATTTATCTTTAGACCTGCTATTTCCCCATATTTACTCAATACTTCCATCAATCTTGTCCCTGATTGTAATGGCTCTTCAATTATAAAAACTAAATCATCTGCAAAAGCTTGCCTTTTAAACGTTTCTTTCTTGATCTCTAAACCTTTGATCTGTTCATCTTTCCGAATTACTCTGATTAATACCTCTAGGGATAGTATAAACAACAATGGCAATAACAGACAACCTTGTCTTGTGCCTTTTTGAATTGAAAAGCTATTGGTCATTTCTCCATTAATTATTACTTGTGCTGTCTGATTAAAATAAACTGATTTAAACATATTTATAAAATTTTCCCCGAAATCCATATACAATTATTGCTTGAGCATAAAATCCCATTTCACATTGTCACATGCTTTTTGTGCATCGAGGAAAATTAAACCCATTTGCTTTACGTACGTCGTAATACTCCAATATATCCAAAACAATCCTGACATTGTTTCTTATGTATCTTTTAGATAAAAAGCCATTTTGATCAGAATGTATAAAATCTGCTAGGAATCTTTCCAGTCTTTGCGCCATTATGGCCATAAAAATCTAATAGTCCGAATTTATTAATGAAATGGGTCTATAGTTTTTAATATGCACCAGGTCTGCATTTTCTTTAGGAATCAGTGAGGAGAGCTTCTTCCCATGAGGCTGGTATTTTAGCTTTTGTTAAGACCTTGTTAAATAGTTCCAACAATATTGGGCTTAAAGATTCTTGTATGATTTTATACATTTCTGCAGGTAAACCATCTGGCCCAGGTGCTTTGTTATTTATTAGTTTCTTAATTGCCTCCGAAAGTTCTAAAGGTATTATCTCTTTGTTCAATAGAGTTTTAAATTCTTCTGGCACTTTTGGTAGGTCAGCTGTTTGTAAATACTGTACAATGTCATCATTATTTCTCCATTCATCATCTTTATATAAGTTCTTATAGAACTCATATGCCACTAATTTCTTCCCTTCATTCTGGTACACCATATCATTTTCTGCATTACAAAGTTTGGTAATCCTCTGTTTATTATTATGTTTTTTAATTTTATAGGCCAGCCATCTCCCGTTTATTGGCATTTTCAAAAAAATTTTGTTTACCACGTTTTATCTGCTGTCCTAGTTCTTCCTTCCCAATGATGTTCATCTTAGGTTTAATTAGGTCTATCTGTTGTTTCAAATCACGTCTTTGTGGTTCCTTTTGTAAATTTTCCTCAACTCTACTTAGTTCTTCTTCTAAGCATTTTTGTTGTGCTGTTTTAATTTTGTTTTCCCTGGCCATATAAGAAATTGCAGCGCCTCTCTTATAAGCTTTGGCTGTATCCCATAAGTTTTGGCAGTTCGTATCTTCCTTTTTGTTTGTCTTAAAAAATAGGTCCATTTGTTCTTCCAATTTCAATTTAAATTCTTTATGTTTTAGGATTGCCCTTTTCAAGGTCCATCTCCTCAATCTTTTTTGCCCTTTCCATCTAATTCTAATTGGATTATGATCAGCCCAGGAGTTCATATCGATTACAATATCCTCTACCTCTAAATTTAAGTCTGCTGACATCCACACCATATCAATTCTGGACCATGACTGATGACGTCCAGAGTAGAATGTAAACTGTTTTTCTCTAAATTCCTCTCTCTCCAAGTATCCTGAATATTAAGCTCATCTACCATTTTTAGGAATGTATCAGGTATTGTTCCTCTGATTCTTTTTCTACTCTTTCCACATTTATAATCTGTGTTTATCCACAATTGCATTATAGTCTCCCATTATACAAATGTCATATTCCAATTGATTAATAATATTATGTAGTTTTTTATAGAATTGTTTCTGCCCCTCATTCGGGGCATAAATTCCCACAAGGAGAATTTTTATTTTATTCAAAATTATTTCCACAATTAAAATTCTACTCTCTTCGTCTTTATAAATTTGCTTTGCCAAAATTTCCTGTTTGATACATGCTACAACTCCTCCTTCCTTGTATTGTGAAAGTGCCGCAAACATGTTTCCCAATTTAGGGCAGTTTAATAAATATTGATATTGTTTTTTTATATGAACTTCTTGTAGCATAATTATATCTAAGTTCATCTTATTGAGTTTATTTAAAAACTTTTTCCTTTTTATTGGAGAGTTGAGACCATTAACATTGATGGATATGGATTCAACACCTTTTTTTCCCTCCTTATCTATATTTGGATCTGGTTATTATTGTCAGCCTAGACTCTTGAGATTGTAAATCCTTTTCTTTTTCCACTACCAATCTTGTCGGTCTAGCCTCTTTAATTTCTTAGGTCTATTCTCATTATGTTTCCCTTCATTTTTCCCATTGTCAATATCCTCTCTAATCTCAACCCGCTTACCTTTAGGTTGCATTTCCTTTCCTTCAGTGGCCTGGGCTAGTGTTTCTCCTTCCTCTCTTACCTCTCTTTCAACTAGGTCTTCCTCACTGCCAAAGTTTTTTTCTATAAAATTCCTTTGCTTTATCCATTGAGTCTAAACGGAACTTTTTCTCCTGCCATGTAATAAGAATCCCTTCCGGGGTCAACCATCTAAAATTGATATTTTTCCTCGTCAATTTAAGAGTTATTTGTTGGTAGGGCCTTCTCAAATCTCTCACTCTTTTAGGTACTTCTTTGAGTACAATCAGTTGTCTACCTCAGTACTCCAGTGAGTCATTTCTGGCCCTGAATAGTATTTCATCTGATTGATTTCTTAATAAATTTAACGGTACTTCTCTGGGAAGATTGTGCCATCTTGCATAGTTCGTATGAATTCTGTAAGTCTCATCTATCTCGCTGGCCATCTCTTCTCTGCTAGACCCCAAGGCCCCCGCTAGTATATCTGTCATTATTACTGGAAGGTCTTCACCTTTCATCTCACATACATTTTGGAATCGTAAATAATGAGCGGCTTTCTCAAGTTCCAGGGAAATAACTGTAGATTCTAATTCTTTGTTAGCCTGAACTAACCTCTCATTCATTTCATCTACTCTCTGCTCTTCTTTATCCATCTTTTCCTCCATTTCCAATATTTTTTGTTCATTTTTCATCATCTGCTGATGGAAAGATTTGAATTTCCCATCCATTGACTTAATTTTATCCTTAAGTTCCCCTGTATCATTCCTTACTTCTATTTCTTTTTTAAGATCTTCATGATTCTTGTACATCATCTCTTGCATTGCTTGCAACATTTGTTGCAAGTCTCTAAATGAGTTTGTCCTATCTCTTTGCACCTTTTCTTCTAGCAATCTTTGCCTGGCAGGGCTTGGTTCTAACAATGTAGTCTGTGTTGTTTGTTTCCTCCCTACTCCAACCCTTCTAAGATTAGGGATACTAGACATTTTTTTTTCAATTCTCCAAGGAGCTTGGTTGCTTTTAATTTTTTTCCTTTTTTGTTTTTATAACAAAAGCAATTTAAAATAAATATTGGAAGCTCAAGTGTTAATGAATCCATAGGGTCTGCCTTTCTGCCCCACAGCTGGAATTCAGAGAACATTCCTCCTACATGGAAATGGAATGTTAATACAACTGACCATGTGGCAAATCCCATTTAGCTCAGCGGGGACCAATAAAAGGAATGGTTAGCAATATAAAAAAAAAAAATCTGTAATTTCTTCTTATCCATATTCAGTTTGATGAAAAAGAATTTTTTTCCCATGGAAAAATGGCAAACAATTCATGGGTGGGTGCTAATTTTTTTTTTCATTCTCCAGAATACTACAGAAATCTAAGGCCAATCTAGCAAAAGAAGAATTCTTGACAGACCTTGAATAAAAATTCATGAGGAAATAAAGGGGAAAAGTTTTTCAGTGTTCCTATCTGAACAAGAAACATTTTTAGCACTGTTCAGAATGTATGCTATAGACCAGCGGTTCTCAACCTATGGGTCGCGACCCCATTTGGGGTCGATCGACCATTTTACGGGGGTCGCAAAACAACGTGATCCGCCATTTTTCCCCCCAGGGGGCGCCGCCGCGCATGCGCCCCGCGCATGGGGCTGCCGCCACGCATGCGCCCTGCGTCGTGCATGCGCGTTCGTGTAGCGGGGTCGCCGTCACACGAAGATTGAGAATTGCTGCTATAGACAGAGTTTCATTTTCTTTGCCCCAAGGATTTAATCAAGCTAAAAATTTCTTTTCCTAAACTATGTCCTATCTTCTGCAATACTTTGCTGTTAATACTAATACTAATACTAATAAAAAGTTGGAAGGGACCTTGGAGGTCATCTAGTCTAACCCCCTGCTCAGGCAGGAAACCCTATACCATTTCGGACAAATGGCTGTCCAGTCTTTTCTTAAAAACTCCCAGTGTTGGAGCATTCACTGTTTCTGGAGGCAGGTTGTTCCATTGATTAACTGTTCTGTCAGGAAGTTTCTCCTTAGTTCTAGGTTGCTTCTCTCCTTGATTAGTTTCCATCCCTTGCTTCTTGTCCTGCCTTCAGACGCTTTGGAAAATAGCTTGACTCCCCCTTCTTTGTGGCAGCCCTTGAGAGATTAGAACACTGCTATCATGTCCCCCCTCGTCCTTCTCTTTGTTAAACTAGACATACCCAATTCCAACAACCGTTCCTTATATGTTTTAGCCTCCAGTCCCCTAATCATTTTTGTTGCTCTTCTCTGTACTCTTTCTAGAGTCTCAACATCTTTTTTACATCGTGGTGACCAATATGCACAGTAGCATATGAAAGATAGTATTTCATATACTACTACAAATATTAGCAGTGTTAAGTAACTAAATGTTACTATTATATTTGAACTATAACCAGTAAATACATGTGCTTTTGTCAAAATAAAAAAAATATAAAATATATATTTATACTTCCTCCTCACATAACCTTTTTCATGACTTATACTCCCTCCTCACATAACCTTTTTCATGACATTTTTGCATTCCACAGCAAATAATTTTGACATTTTTTTGTCCTGTGTATTTGTGGGGACATCTCATATGGCCATTAAAACTTAAGATGTTGTTAGTCTACCATAGTAGTGAAGGCATCAGGCTAAAAAATCAGATTGTGAGTTCTAGTCCTACCTTAAGTATGAAAGCTGGTTGGGGTGAGTTTGAGCCAGTCACTCACTCTCAGCCCAGCCCTACCTCAAAGGGGTGCTGTTATGGGGGAAAATACGAGGAGGAAGGAGTATTAGTTGTGTTTGCTGCCCTGAGTTACTTATAAAAATAATAAAAGGCGGGATAAATAAACCTTTCCCGGGAGACTCTGCCAGATTAAGAACTTCGGGCAGCTCAGAAGGCTGCAAAATAAGACTCCAAGCTGGGCAACCGGGATGCAAGGAAGCCAGCCAGAATTCTTCGCTTCCTGGAAATAACGCAGCATAAAGCTCCAACACATGATCAAAATGGTTGGAAAGAAACAATATAGCCCTCGTAAAGACGGCATCCTGTTTTGCAGGAGGAAACCAGTCAGGAGACCTGAAAGGTGCAGGAACAGAACAGTTGTTGCAAATCAAACAAGTTTTGCGAGCTTAGAAAAAAAGAACTCCCCCGATTGAAGAATATTTCAAGCTTCGCCCTATTGGCGAAGACTTCACCCCTCTCCTTCCTGCATCGTTACTTTGAAAAGCTCCATCACCCGAGACGTATTTCTCAGTACTCACCTCGAACAGGGAAATAGGTGAGGGTGTACTCGCCAGGCACTAGGGGGGAAAAAAACGGGAAGGTAGCAGGACGGTTACCTCAGCACCCACTAGAGATAATAAACGCGACGGGATGCATTTAATTCTGCCAGGCGATGGGAGCACTACGCGCCCCCGCCATCGCATCTCGCCTGCCCACCGCCCCAGGAAGGGAAGGAGAAACGGATCAGCCGAACAGAAACGTGGGGATACTCACTGTCGGAAAAGCTGCGGGTCAAGGCACAACCAAAGCAGGGAGCGATTGATGGAGCAGATTTTCTAGAATCTGCACAAAGCCAAGCTCGGCAAAAGATGCTGAGTCACGCTCCATTAGCTGGCCTCGGACCAGCCCTTCTTAAAGGGGCAGGAAAGGGTTTAGACGTGTCTTATTCTTTATCTCCGAGGCTAAGTTTGATCTTAGTTTTAGCAATCTTTTGGGCCGTCTCGGACACTGGAATGTGCCTGGGAAAACGACGATCCCTAAATATATAGGGAGCGGATTGTCTTTTGGAACACAGCGCTGGCTTTGCAAGTGGGGTCGTTGATCAGCTCGACTTTTAGAGTCAAAGTTGAGTCACAAAGTCGAAAGTACGGTGTCCCTTCCCCTTTTCCAGGAACTGTAATTGATGGACAAAGAAGCAACAGTTGGAGGAAATATATTATCAATCACAATCACATAACATACTAAGCCCCATTATAGCTGATTTTGTGTGAACCCAAATGCTTCTTTCAGTTACAAAGTATTAGTTTGTGCAGCAATTGTGTCTGATAGAAGAAGCAATGGGAAACTACTGAAGTGTTCCTTGTCCAAAATAAAGCCAGAAGAGGCTAGCTAGAGGATAAAACTCCTAAATGAAAACCACTCATAGCTGAGATTAAGAACGAAAAGGATGAGCCTTAAACTGGCTGTTCTCTCAGGCCTTATGCCCTGATGTTGCATAACACATCTGATTGTGTAATATCGGTTACTGGCCCAGGGTTGGTATGTTGCTTCTGCATTTTGTTTTTATTCCTTTTATTCTTTTATGTCCAGAGTCACTTGATGAGTATGTGATCTTAAAAATCAAAGTTTCTTTCTTTTTAAATGAAGAAATAAAACAAATGTTCAGAGATGGTGACTTTTAAATACAATAGTCAATTGAGATATCTTAATGTTACAGTGTGTTGAAACATATTTAACTGCTTGGGAATTATATCACATGTACAGAAAATCTGCACCCATCATCCCTGCTCTGAAACAAACCAGTGATTCAATTTAGATATTTATTCTATGGCTGAAGAGTATAGGTTTTTTACTAGTGCTTGTTGGTCATTGATCTATTTGTAGTTTTCTATTTATGTCAGAATATTAATTATGGTCTTCAGTTACAGTAAATCTTGCATGAAATCTCACCTCAACCTAAAGACAAGGAATACATACTTTTGAAATTAGTGTCAAGCTTTGTTTTAAATATGATTCAATGTTAACCATGCTTAAGGACACTTACCCAGAAAAGGTGAACTAGTACCCTTTTAATTTTTTAAAGTATTTTCTTTTATTTCACAAGCAGCAAAACGTCTGGGGTAGTCCACTTCTATTCTAGGGATAGGGAGATGCATAGAAAAGGAAAGCCAATCTCACCCCATCCCCTTTCTTTCCAAAAGAAATTTCTATAGCTTTGCAGGGGCTGCAGAACCACAGCAGAGAGAGCAAATTCTGCAACAAAGACAACTCTTCTTTATTGCTGCAGCTTTGTGCTGATTTCCCAGGGGGACTAATTGCTACTTTACTTTACTTTACTTTACTAGTCTAGGTTCAGACAACATACCAAGTTGTGCTTAGCTGCTTTTCCAAGAAAAAATATGCTTAATGGCATTTCATCTATTCACAAGGGTATCATATTTCCAGATTTAGATCACACAGTAAGCCCAATGGTTTTTAGAGCAGAGTTCCCCAACCTTTCCGGGTTTGTGAACTGACGGGGGTGGGGAGAGGATGGTTCCATGCAAGTGCACGCACATAACTCACGCAAATGGAGTATGCATGCATGTGCTCACTGCTAGCACAAGTGGGGAGGTGCGCGTGAACTCATCTGCCATTTATATGACCCAGTTACAAACACCTCATGACTCACTAGTGGGCTGTGGCCCGGCGGTTGGGGACCCCTGGTTTAAGGTATTATGTGACCATGATAACAGAATATCCTGGAGACCTGGAATGTCCATAGAATTTCTCTCTTCTAGTCTTTGCCCTTTGGTAATTCCCAGATCAGAACAGTGCTTAAAGTGAACTACACATTTATTTAAGGAACATTTTAACAACTCATAACTAGATTGTCGTTAATTAAAATGAGTGCTGAAGATTTTGCTTCCTGAACACTTTTGGGTGTATTTTATAGATTTTTGGCTGCTAATCACGAAAATTAACTTATCACATATTGTCTTATGTAGTAGTAAAGTAAAGTTGGAAGGGACCTTGGAGGTCATCTAGTCCAACCCCCTGCTCGGGCAGGAAACTCTACACCATTTCGGACAAGTGGCTGTTCAGTCTCTTCTTAAAAACTTCCAGTGTTGGAGCATTTACTGCTTCTGGAGGCAAGCTGTTCCACTGATTAATTGTTCTCACTGTCAGGAAGTTTCTCCTTAGTTCTAGGTTGCTTCTCTCCTTGATTAGTTTCCACCGTTGCTTCTTGTCCTGCCTTCAGGTGCTTTGGAAAATAGCTTAATTCCCTCTTCTTTATGGCAGCCCCTGAGATATTGGAATACTGCTATCATGTCCCCCCTTGTCCTTCTCTTCGTTAAACTAGACATACCCAATTCTCGCAACCGTTCATTATATGTTTTAGCCTCCAGTCCCCTAATCATCTTTGTTGCTCTTCTCTGTACTCTTTCTAGAGTCTCAACATCTTTTTTACATCGTGGTGACCAAAACTGGATGCAGTATTCCAAGTGTGGCCTTACCAAGGCATTGAAGAGTGGTATTAATACTTCACGTGATCTTGATTCTATCCCTCTGTTAATGCAGCCTAGCACTGTGTTGGCCTTTTTGGCAGATGCAGCACACTGCTGGCTCATATTTAAGTGATTGTCTACTAGGACTCCGAGGTCCCTCTCACAGTTACTACTATTGAGCAGGGTGCCACCTATGCTGTACTGTTGCTGAAGCACATCCAGGACACCTACTACAACTGGAATATCTGTGGGGATCAAAAAGCAGTGGCTCTACTGCTTGGAATACAGCTCAGATATACCAAGTCCTATTGTTACATATGCAAATGGGTTCAGTCATGCAAGAGAGTCACATTACATTTAAAAGAAATGGTCACTCTGAAAGAATTTGGTTCCAGGACAGAAAAATGTGGCACATGAACTATTTGTTGACCCTACAAAGATATTTTTGCCTCTGCTTCTTATAAAACTCGGAATGATGAAAAATTTTGTGAAAGCAATGAGCAAGGAAGGTGAAGGTTTTTATCATTTGAGGCAGATGTTTCCAAGAATAATGTGCCAGGAAGTCATTTTTGTTGGTCCACAGATCAGATACATTATCAATAACAATCTGTTGAAGATCTATTAATGGGGCCAGAGAAAATTGCCTGGAAAGCATTCAAAGATGTTGAGAATTTTCTTGGCAACTACAGAACACCAAACTACATTCAACTAGTTGATAGACTTCTTACACAATACAAGACCCTGAAGTTTAATGTGTCACTGAAGAATCATTTTCTGCATTCATACTTGGATTTCTTTCACAAAAATCTAAGTGCAATCAGGAATAAACATGGCAAAAGATTTCACTAGGACATTTCTACAATGCAAAAACAGTATCAGGGCAACTGGAACCCATCAATGCTGTCTGACTATTGTTGGACACTGCAGCAACATACATTGGACATCGAGTACAAGTGAAAATTAGCAGTAAAACACATTTAGTCCTGCTGACTTCATGCAGTGTGTTGGAAACATTATGTTATTAAATACAATGTAGTCATTAAAAGTTAATTTCATATTTCTCAACATTCCAACAAGATACAATCATTCTGAAATTGTGTTCAGCTTGAAGATGTCTATTATTATCATCAAATGTTTTTCAGGAAGCAAATTTTGTGAAACAAATTGTCTTTATACAATCCACTCATCTCTATTTAACTTTAATTTTCCACTGTTTCATTGTTTTTAGTGAATTCTGCTCACCCATCAAGGAAAAATAAGTGTTCTGAACTAACAGTAATTGCCTCAGGACCTCTGAGATGATTATGTAACTGAAATTTAGAAACAGGAGAAAACATGGGTTTTTGGCCTAAGAGACAGTTGCAGCAAAGGTTAGTGGGAATAGGGGAACGAGCATAGTAGCAAACTAGAAAGGCCGTGTAACAAGACCAAATAGTTTGATAATTAGGGAAACCACAGTTATCTGTTAAACCTGATCATGATTCCATATATCATGATCTCCAAAGTCACATTTTGAAAAATGTAAGACAGTAAAAGGAGTTTCAAGGAAAAAAATGTGCACCAATAGACCAGAGCAACTCAGATTACAAACATCCAGATTGTGATCTTGGACGCTGCCACCTTCTCCCATAATCCCCTTCCCTTCCACATAATGGAAAGAACCCCAAAGCTAAGATTAATATCAGTCCTGAGGGCTAATTTCAGTTCCCATTTATTCCAAACTCAAAAATATTTACTTTTTCCCAAGACAGTAGGCCTTACCCCCCAGTCAAGATAGAGTAGATAAGAATAAAACAAGTTATTCCATTACTGATTTTTGCTCTCCAGGTATTGCCTTCATTTTAGCTTGCTTGTAAAGGGTAGTCTCCCAATTTCTCATGTGCAAGGTTTGTTAAGCAAAGTAAACGGTGAAATATTAATATTCTCTTATACTTCTCCTGTTTGGAATGTCAATGCCATCATCCCAAGACAGCAGGAATAGGGCACAGGGTTTAATATCTGGAGCTTAATGTCTTTGACACCATGTGCCCTTCAGTATTGGCAAGAGTTGACAATACAAAGAGCAGTGAATGGGATGGACCACAAAGAGAACCTGATCGGATCATGAAGGGAGATGAATTACAACACACACACACAAACACACACACACACAAAACAGTGAGGTCCATTTTCCCAAGTTTTGAAAGATGCCTACACTTGAATTTTCCTGCTTTACTATCCATTCCAAAGTCTAGGTTTCAAAACCCTGCACCTCTACTAAAGAGAGCAATGCCCCATGCCACTATATTTGGCTCTTTGGAAGGAAGGAGAAAAAAAATAATGTTACTGGGGAATGCCCAAGAACTGTAGGAAATGGGTTGTACCAGTCTGTTGTGGCCAAGAAATGCCAAGTTTTTCCTACCCTCTACAACAGTGGTTCTCAACCTGTGGGTCAGGACCCCATTTGGGGTCGAACGACCATTTCACGGGGGTCGCCAAACAACGCAGTCCGCCATTTTTTCCCCATTTTCCTTAGCTGTGCTACTCCCTTTTATTCTATTGGCTTTTGAAAGCCAATAGAATAGACTCTCTTGAATAGAGTCTAATTCTATTGGCTTTCAAAAGCAATAGGAATTGTCCAGGCTGTCTCTGCCCTGCTGAGCCCGCCAAAAGTCCCATTCTGCAAACGGTGCTGCACCAGTTGAGTAGTCCTCAACTTACGACCGGTTGAATAGTCCTCGACTTACGACCAGTTGGGGGTCGTGGCATTAAAAAGGTTGAGAACCACTGCTCTACAAGTTACCGAACTATGCTGTGAAAAGAATCATTAGCAAAGCAGATCCAGTTTTACATACTTTGAAATGGTACTTTTGAAAACTCCAGGGATTCTGTAACAGGAAGGACACAAGTAAAAAGCTGTGTGCTGAGATGAGTAGGAATAAAGAGAGAGATAAGATTATCCTTTAACCTCTGATTAAAGTTGAAATTTGAAAAAAGAAGGATTTTCCCTGTAACAGATTTGCACAAAGGCAACATCTGTTCCAAGGTGCATCTATTTTCTACAGGAATAAGAAAAAGTTAAAAACCGACTCCACTTAGTTTCTTTGTCAGTTTTTAAGTTTCTGGTGATTTGTTACCTCTCTACAATCTCAGGCAAATTGGAATTGCTTTATATTAGAGTTACTTCTAAGTAGAGAAGATCAGGATCATCTTGGGATTTGCTTAAACTGGGAGCCTTATCTTTTCTGTATCTTTATCTATTCATTGATCTAAAGCACTGGCTTCATTTTAGCGCTGTGATTGCAGTAGTGTTGTACTTTCCCCCCCTGTACTACTGAATTTTTTAACTAAAAGATGTCTTTATGCTTTCTCTTTTCATTTTTTTTTTTTGAAAATAAGATTTGATTCTATTTATCTGTGGAGATATTACTCTATCAGCCCACAAAGGAGGTGAACGAAGAAGAGCTGATTTCTCTAGTCACATACCTTAGTGTTTTAGGCTAGGAGGTGCTACAGAATTTATTTTATTTTTATTACTGCCCAGACTGCGGGAACCCTCTCTCTCTTACATATCTTGAGAGTTGCTGGAAGGCAGAAGATGCCAAGTATAGGCTAGTCCTCGACTTATGACCAGAATTGGAATCAGAATTTCTGTTGCTAAGTGAAGTAGTTGTAAAATGAGTCATATGCAATTTTATTACCCTTTTCCCCCCACAGTTCTTAAGTGACTCACATGATCATTAAGTGAATCTGGCTTTGACTTTGCTTGTTAGAAGCCCTCCTGGGAAGGTGGCAAAGGACGATCACAGGTCCCTGGGACACTGCAACCATCACAAATACGTGCCTGTTGCCAAGCGCCCGAATTTTGATCACATGACCATGTGGATCCTGTGATGATTGTAAGCATGATGACTGATTCTAATTGCAGTTGTAACTCTGAACAGTCCCTAAATGAATGATTGTAAGTTGAGGACTACCTGTAAAGGCAACTCCCTTGAAGACAGATGGTGGCATACAAACTGCGTAGAAAGGGAGGAAGCCGAGGTTGTGTAGTCTCCAAGAACTTCTGGGACACGGGGCTTGAGATCTCTCAAGCGTTTCACTTTATAGAATCAGCTGTGCTGGTACCTCTACAAATGCAGATGGCACGTGTATTTGAGATGGGACAGTTGCCTCGAGACCATGCCACTGGAGACCTAGCAAGACTGGCCTACGGTATTTGCCAGCTGTCTGAAGAGGAACCAAATATTTCCATGGAAAGAAAGGCCAATCATAGTTCAAAACCTCTGACAGAGATTTTGCTCTACTGTAATGAAAGACAGCAGGCAAGCAGGGTGAGAATTTTCTAGTTACCGCAATTGACAAACATCACTGGGCCTGACCTGCCAGATGTTGAGGTCACAACCTTACTTGAGCTACCTGCTTTCCATCTCTTTCTCCCTAAATTTTCTTGCAGAATTATTGTGAAGATAAGGGCCCTAATGCAGTGGTGGCGAACCTATGGCACGGGTGCCAGAGGCGGCACTCAGAGCCCTCTCTGTGAGCACGTGCGCCATCGCCCCAGTCCTAGGCCTTCAGTTGGGTTTTATAAAACCTTTTCGCTTTAGGCCTCCACTGCTATGTGCAAAAAAAAAAAAAAAAAAAAGGTTCAATCAGCCAATTTCGACTTCTCATGGGAAAAAAAAAGATCTTGCAAAGTTGGAATTGATTGATTGAACTTTTTAGTCCCACCCAGTTTGCTGTTACCACCGCAGCCACGCTCACCTAATGGGCCATGCCCACCCAATGGGCCACACCCACCCAATGGACCACACCCACCACGGACCACTCAACTATGCATAAGTGGGTTTTGGGTTGGGCACTCAGTCTCTAAAAGGTTCGCGATCACTGCCCTAATGGAAAAAAAGGGGAACGTAAAGTAAATCAGATCTAGGTTGCAAAAATTCAAACAACCTCTAGATGGCGATGAGACTGATGTTTTCTCTATTCTCTGCTGTCATGATACCGATTTTTGCAGCCCAGATCACCTAGCCATAAATAACTGCATACATATAAATATATCTTTAGATCAGTGGTTCTCAACCTTTCTAATGCCGTGACCCCATAATATAGTTCCCCATGTTGTGGTGACCCCCAACCACTTATACATCACCGGGTGCCAGGAGCGTGGCCAAAGAAAAGGAGGAAAAAATGGCAGACAGCCTTGTTTGGCGATCCCCCTGAAATGGTCGTTCAACCCCAAATGGGGTCCCGACCCACAGGTTGAGAACCACTGCTTTAGATGCACTCATCAAGCATATAAAGATGGGCAAAATGCTTGACAAGTAGATATTGAGTACATGATGCTCCTCAACAACAAGATGCAGTGATGGAAAACTTTCCTCTGGTACCTGAAGCAGTTAAAAGTACACAAATCCTGTCCCTGTAAATATGATAACAGTCCAGGTAAGAAAATAGGCCCAGCAGGGGTAGGAGAAATCTTCAACGTCTAAGCAACTGAGACTTGTTCTTTCTTTCTGCTCTTGATTTCTCTTAGCTGAGCCACAGAACATTAAGACCTCACCCAAGGACTCTTGGCATTGTCTGTAAGAGCTAGATGAGGTCTGGTTACTCCTGAACTGGAATGTTGCCAGCTTTTCACTAAATAAATCATGGTCTGCTCAACAGTCCCCGCAGAGCATTGCCATTCACTCCATTCTGCCATTCAAAGAGCCAGGAAGGTAGCCAATGCCACAGGTGGGGTCCAGCTTTGCTGAAATACAATCAGCTTTCTAAGCTGAGAAAGGGGATGATGCATGTGTGAGCGAATCATAACGGAGAGTAAGACTTAAGGAAGCAAATGCAGGTACGAGGATGGAAACGGAGAGGGCAGAACAGAGAAAACAAAATCTCTAAATATCTAAGCCTTATGCTGATCTATGACCATAATAAAGATTTGCTTGGCTTTGATTCCTGAGCAGATATATCAAGCGCAAGCAGGGGTCCAGAGAAGGCAAGCTAGTTTTATCAAAGACTTTCTTTAAAAAAAAAAAAGTCGCTACTAGCACATGACGTATTTTATTCCCAGGGTATTGTCCCAGTCTCTTTACTGCATTATTTTCGAAAATAAGTAGATATTATGTAAATGCCCAGGGACTCCATAGTGTTGCTCAAACCGTAATCTGCAGGCACTGAGACCTCTTGGGTTTCCTACTTCAGGGAGTTGTTTTACCTTGTTTTCATCATTAGTGAAAAGCCAATCTGGGCCGGGTCATATATCTGACCTGATAAGCTCAGATTCCCTCTATATCCTCCGGCTTCAATCTCGCTCTTTACAATAATAAGATGACTTGATTAAGTTTTGATGGAGAGCGAGGGTGAGCTGTGACAGAAGCTGAGGTTCCCTCCTGCTCCCATGTCAGTCCCTGGCCCTGGGAAACACAAGGGATGATCCATTAGAAGCAGGGAAAGCAAACAGAAGACATGCCTGAAAGAATGGGGAGATAAAGGAGGGAAAGAAAGGACAGGAAACAGGAGAAAGAGAGAAAGGAAAGGGAGAGAGGGTGTTTAGAGTGGGTAGGAAAAGTGGGTCCCAGAAGGAGGAAAACATTGCAGAGAAAAATTTAATGGGAGAAGGAGTGAGACAGCAGAAGGCATATGTAGCTGAAGGGTATTCTAAGATATTTGCATTACTTGAGATCTAGAAATATAACACTATGGCCATCCGGTTAGGAGTGTGTGCCTTTGGAGAGGACGAATGCCAGCAGAGTGGCCCACAATAGAGTGGCAAGCAAGTAGCATAAGGAACAGAACTGGAGCAACTGGAAAAAAAGGTGAGAAGAAACCAGGAATATAGTTCAATGTCACACGGGATGTGCCTATGAGGATGGGAGCCAGAGAGGAAGGCCACAGCAGTGAGAAAAGGGGGTGGGCTTTGTCATGGATCATCTTCCCCAAAGAGGAAGTAAATAGTGAGAGCTCCAAAGGAGGACTGTAATTCTTTGCCAGTCTTCAGCATGTTCTTTTTCCTTCGAGAGACCCGCCGACTGAGAAGTGAGACATCACACCTGCAGGCGTCTAGTTCCCGACATGGTGCTCAGAGGCAGTCCAAGGGTGGATACTCCCGAAGGACAAGCAGTCGGTCCCATGAAGAAGACTGGCAATCTATGCAACAGCCCAGGATCAGGAGTGCTTCTGACCCTGCCTCAGCCACTGCTTCTGGACCCCTCTTTCACACCCGCTCCCAGTTGGGTGATGGAGCAACGTTGCCTGCAACCAAGCCAGAGGACAAGCCATTGCAAGAGACAGTTGGAAGGACCAGTCTGGCTCGTGCAGAAGAAAAATACCTAAATATCAGGGATATGGAGCTTAGCCTCACCTCTGTCTTTGGGCAGGTAACTAAAAAACTGGGAGCAGATGGGGGAAGCCATGACAAGGAAGAAGAGTGGGCTATCCAGGAAGAGGCGGGGGCTGAAAATCGGGGAATTTGTACTTGAGGTTCAATGGAAGAAAAGCTCAAATAAGAGAAATCCCCCATTTATCAATATTCCACCTTCTATCATTGTAGGTTTTATATATATATATATATATATATATATATATATATATATATATATATATATATATATATATATATATATATATATATATACACAGTAAAAAGAACAATTCTAGGCTTCCTTTTCCCTTCTTATTTCTCTCATAACTAGAGATCTTGCTTTCCTGCCATGTTCCAAATTAGCTCAGGGTCTTTCAGCATTTGCCATGTTGGCTGGGGAGTTAGCCATATATGGAAAGTCATAGATTTGTTACTCATTACTCTCGGATCAGCTGAAGAAGTCTAGAGGCCAAGATCTGTTTTTTTCCCTAATCCTGAAAATCCTTAGGATTTTCCTACAGCAAATCTGTAGGATTGACCCCTTCTGTAATTAAAGGTTGTACCAGTTTGAGATTGGTGGTGCCCCCATCCATGCTCCGCAATACTGTGGGCCTTTTGGCCATAACTACCAATTTAGCTCTTCCAGCTCCAGAAGAAATTTAGACAAATTTGCTGCATTTCTGTTGCAGCTGTGAGTGGATTGGTTTGCCATTGGTAGAATCTCCTCCTTTTTCTTATTCTCCTTCATACTTTGAAAAAGCAAATGCAGTGAAGAAGGAAAGGGGTGGGTGGAGCAGGGAGCAGGATAGCATTTGGCTACCATTTGATTGTGCCCTACAGAAGACAATCTAGATCAGGGGTCTTCAAACTTGGCCCTTTTATGATTTGTGGACTTCAACTCCCAGAATTTCTCAGCCAGGCATGCTAGCTAGGAATTCTGGGAGTTGAAGTCCACAAGTCATAAAAGGGCCAAGTTTGAAGACCCCTGATCTGGAAGGAGCATAGGCTCTAGTCCAACTGCCTGTTCAAGCAGGAGAGTCTATACCATTTCAGATAAATGGCTGTCCAGTCTCTCTTGAAAACCTCCAGTGATGGAATGATGGAGTGCCCACAACTTCTGGAGACAAGCCGTTCCACTGGTTAATTGTTCTTACTGTCAGGAAATTTCTCCTTAGTTCTAGGTTGCTTCTCACCTTGATTAGTTTCTATCCATTGGTTCTTGTCTTGTCTTCTGGTGCTTTGGTAAATAGTTCCCCCCCCCCATGTTTGTGACAGCCCCTCAAATACTGAACACTGCTATCTTATCACCCCAATCCTTCTTTTCAGCAGACTAGACATACCCAATTCCTGCAATCGTTCTTTATATGTCCCAGTCTCCAGCTCCCTAATCATCTTTGTTGCTCTTTTCTCCACTCTTTCCAGAGTCTCAACATTTTTTTATATTGTGGTGGTGACCAAAACCGGATTCAGTATTCCAAGTGTGGCCATACTAAGGCTTTGTAAAGTGGTACTAATACTTCATGTTACCTTGATTCTATCCCTCTTTTATTGCAGCTTAGTATTTCATTGGCTTTTTTGGCTGCTGATGCACACTGTTGGCTCATTTTTAAGTGATTGTTCACTTGGACTCCAAGATCCCTCTCACAGTTACCGGCATTCCCGAGCCAAGTTTGACCTAGTCTATACCTGTACAGTTGGTTTTTCTTGCCCAAGTGTAAAACCTTACTTTTATCTACATTGAATTTCATTTTGTTAGATAGGGCCCAATGTTCAAGTCTGTCGAGATCCATCTGGATTTTGAGCCTATCTTCTGGGGTGTTGGTTATTCCTGTCATCTTAGTGTCATCTGCAAATGTGATGAGTTCCCCTTCTATTCCCTCATCTAGATTTTTTATTGAAAACATTGAAGAGTACTAGGCCTAAAACTGAACCTTGGGGAACCCCACTACTTCCTTCCCTCCATATGGATGTAGTTCCGTTGAGTACGGTTTATCAGCCAGTTACTAATCAGTTATCTGGTGGTAATGCTGTCTATCCCACATTTTTCTAGCTTATCAAGAAGTAGGTTGTGATCTACTTTGTCAAATACCGTATACTTTATCAAATAATAAAATAAGACTTATTTGGCATGATCTGTTTTTGATAGCCCATGTTGGCTACTGGTTATATCTTTATTTGTAACTTAGATGTTTGCAGATTTGTTCCTTGATTACCTTTTCCTTATCTCTCCAGGTATTGATGTCAGGCTGATTGGTCTGTAATTTCCTGGATCTTTCCCCCCCCCCCTCCTTTTTTGAAGATGAGAACCACATCAGCTCTTTTCCAGTCCTCAGGTAGTTTCCTTGTGTTCCAAGAACTTTGAAAGATGTGGTTCAAAGATTCTGAGATCACATCTGCCAGTTCTTTCAAAACTCTGGGATGTAATCCATCAGGACCCGGAGATTTGAATCCATCCAGAACTGACAGCTGTTCTCTTACCCTATTTTTGCTTATTTTAATTTGCATTCCTAGCCTGTCTTTTATGGTTTTGTTTTTGGTAAGTTGGTTTATATTTTCTTTTTGAGTGAAGGCAGATGCAAAGAATGAATTAAGCAGTTTTGCTTTCTCTCTACTGCCCATTACTTCCTAGCCATCTTCTCCCATTAGTGAACCAATTGTTTCTTTGACTTTTTTCACATTTTTTTTATTGTTTTTGACATTTGTTGCAAGTCTTAATATGTTTTGGGCCGTAGGTTTCCTAATTTCAACTTTGCAGGTCCGGGCAATTTGCTGGCATTCTGCTTTAGTTATTTGTCTTTCCATTTTTTGTACTTACCCTTTTTTTTCTTTCAATTGGTCAGAAAGTTCCTTATACATTCATGCTGGTTTTTTCTTGGTTTTCTTGGTTGAGCCAATCTGTATTGGTTTTGATGCTGCTTCATGCAGTCTAAAAATGGGGTGTGTTGAGTCCGTGGCGGGAAGCAGACACAAGAAGCAGTTGAAGTTCTCAGTTTTCTTTATTCTGCGTTCAGCTTACAAGTAGATGGCTTCAGCAGCTCCCAAAACCTCCCAACTTCTTATATAGACATTTCCCGGGTAAATGCGATACTTTTCCCGCGCCAGCACCCGCGCATGCGCACGGCGCTGGCGACAGCCTGTCTGGTCCCGGGCAGCTTTGCACCTGCCCGGGACTGCCTGCAAACGCCCGAGCCGTTTGCAAGGCTCGGGACATAACACCCCTTTCCCCCGGGGCTAAAACTACTACCAACATATAATCATTTATTTTATGCAGTGTTCTGCTTCTCAGTGCTCCTATCGTTACCTGGCTTTTGTTTAGCCAGCAATGTTATGTAATCCTCTAAGTATTTAGGAGACTTCTTTGCTCTCTGTGACCTTCTCAGCTCTGGGTTACTAGCATGAGTTCCTTGACTGGAGGGAGATGTGAGCCTGTTCTCCTTATTTTGCCTTGGTGCCTTCCAAGGACTGCGCTCCGCTGCCTGGCCTGCTTGCTCGTCAGGCCAGGGCTTCTGTCACTTTGTGACCTGGTTGACCTGCCTAGCTGTAGACCCTCGGGCCCCTTGAAGTGATAGCCACTGTTGGGCGTCTCTGTTGAACCTCCTAGGTCCATCCAAGACCTGTCAGGAGGCTGTCCATTCCCTGAACCCCGTTCTGTGTCCGGGCTTGTGTGGGTTTCTGTACCTTCCCAAAACTCAGTGATTCCCTGATTTGGGCTAGAGGTGTTGTAGTCGGGACTTGGTTCCTCGACCACCTCCCTGTATGTTTGACCCCCTGTAGGATTTGGAGTAAGGTCAGGCCAACCTTGGGGATTGTGTGCCAGCTCTCTTGCGGGAAATGATTTGTTGGGATGCCCCCGGGTATCCTCCGTGACTGGAGTGCTGTGTGATATGTGTGGAAAGTGAGTATGCCCCCGGGGTGACTCCCTGGCTGGAGTAGGCGTGGATGCCTGGTAATTAGGTAGGCTCATAGAATTCTTGTTCGGAGCTCTCGCAGAACCCTGGGATGGGCCGTTTGTAGCTCCATCAGTGGAGATGGGCAGCAGCTCGTGCCCTTCCCTTTGCTCCAAAGGGTCCCCCTCCCCCCCTGGAAAAGACCCAGGAGTCTCATCGGAAAAGTCCCGCCGAGGGCGGAGTTGGTCGATGTGCCGACGCAGGACACGACCGTTGTCCAGGGCTACCTCATAGGAGAGAGGACCTGTGACCCTGGAAATAGAAGCGGGGACCCATGTATGACCAGGCCCGTAATTGCGAGCCCAAACCGGGGCACCCACAAGTAGTTGTCTAGGGGCCCTAGGATGTGAGGTAGATGAAGGCAGTCTGTCCGGATGCAACCGGTCAAGTTTAGTAGTAAGTTGACGCCCCCAACGAAGTTCAGCTGGGCTTCTCCCTGTAGAAGTGGACGGTGTGGTGCGATAAGAAAGGAGAAAATCAGCCAACCTGTGATGCCAGTCCCCGTAGGTGAGTCTTTTCAATGCGTCCTTTGTGATGCGCACCATACGTTCAGCCATACTGTTGGTGGACGGTGGAAGGGTGCAGACGTGGCATGACGAATCATGTTTGCCTGTAAGAAAGCTTGGAATTCGGAGGAAGTGAATTGAGGGCCGTTGTCGGACACAATGACATCTGGCAGCCCGTGTGCAGCAAAAATCCCCCTCAGTACCTGAATAGTCTTTGCAGTGGTGGTGGATGAGGCAGGTACAACCTCAAGCCATTTCGAATGGCTGTCAACAAGGACCAAGAAGAACTGGCCCTGAAAGGGTCCAGCGTAGTCAATGTGCACCCTAGACCATGGGGACTGTGTTTCCTCCCATCTATGCACGGGAGCTTGGGGCATCTCTGGGCGAGATCGTTGGCACAGGTGGCATGCATTCACCTTAGCCTCAATATCTTTATCTAAACCAGGCCACCACAAGTGGCTGCGCGCAAGAGCCTTCATACGAACAATGCCAGGATGACCCTCGTGGAGGGATTCTAAGACCCTAGTCATCATTGAGGTGGGAATGACAACTCTGTTTCCCCA